GCGTTTTTGCGTTGCATAGCTGCAAAAAACGCATAATGAAGGCTTACTTGGTTAAATATGTCGAGAAGACGTTCAAGAGTTGAAAGCTGCTTGATAAGTTTTTGAACAACTTTGCTAAATGCTTCAAATATTGAATGATCGTAAATTGAGGTCAAATGATATCTGCAACACAAGAAAAGGTCCTTGATCAATCAGTCCCACGAATAAAGTGATCAAAACTGCTTCACGTGAGGCTCGAGTTATTTGCCTACAAAGTCGTATATGCAGTTCTTATTAGGCACCTAGGTGGATCGGTGATCGTACCCTAAACACTTTAATTATTATTCACATTATTATTACCATTATTATTGCCATCATTATTACTGTTATCATTATTATTGTTACTATTACATTCAACTATTTTTATTCATGTTTATATTCAACTGTTGTATCAACTATTATTCATAGCCTGGTTCTACAACTATGCAGCTGACAACTTCTCCAGTTTCTTTGGCCAGTGCTGCATCGCTTGGTTGTCAGCTTGTTTTCGGACAAATTATGCCAAAAAAATGTCATTACCGTTACATAGGCCTGGCCCGTATCAAGCGATAGATGAGCTGTTTTTTAAGGAACAGACTTCCCATTAGCGCTTTGATAAGCCGCCGTTCCTCCAAAATCCAGAAACTGAATTAAACCAAAAAAAAAGTCATAAAGGCGCCTTCAACTGCATATCAAATTACAGCCCGGATGGCCTTTCTCACTACAAAATATCCGCTAATCTTTCGGCAAAGTGAGAAATCCTCAACTGCTTCGATGTTCCTATTGCTACAGCATTGACAATCATTCCGGAAAGTTACGAAGATGAGCAGGAAGCGAGGGAGGGAGGCAGGATGAGGAGTCTATTTTACACGTCAATTTCCACAATTTTAAGCCAAATGAAATTCATCTAGAAATAAGAATTGTGGAATAGGCAACCAAGAAACATACGTTATATGAAGTTTATCATAGCCATCGTCCTGGAGATCGTCTTGGATACGTTGAAATATATCGCGTTGCGTCTCCAATTTCACCTCTTCATTTAATCCATCCACTTTATGGATAAACACCTAGGCATCCATGGTTAATCACTAGAAAAAAAAAGTAGATCTATCCCAGATCAACATAGCTTCAATTTTTCAAGCAGACTCGCTGAAGTTCCTGGACGCTCAAGACGACAATACAAGTTAACTCACTTCAAATCGAATTTTATTGTTTAGTTCATAAGCTTTTTTGAAATAATCTGCCATCCTTTTCAGTGCTTCCGAGTAATCATCCTGAAATATCGTTGAAATGCAAAACCGCTCCAGAAGGAATTGAAAAAGACAGCTCTCAAAACTATTGGTGGTCAGTGTTTAACGTTACTCAGCTTCACAAACCGAAAATTTAGTATTCGCCTTTCCCTCTCCCCTCCCCCGTCCCCTCCTTTCTCTTCCTGCTCCCCACCACCACACACCAATTTTTGTAAAAAATTTTAGAACAAAGTTCAAAAAGAATAAGATATTTTTTTAAGCGGTTCTGTCACAATTTTCTAGTCCGTCAGGTGAGAATCTTTTAGTCGATAGCCATCTTGAAATACGTAATCATGGCTCAGGAATGACAAAATTCGAAATAAGG